ACACACACACACACATATTAATGATAGTTCCATGAAAGAAATCCACATAATCATGTAAAAAAGAATGAGAAGTTAGTTGCTTTCTTTTTGTAATCTTCTAGCAATGAATTCCTTCTCTTTGTACCCACTCTCCAGCACCTTTAGGAGCAATTGGTTTTCATTCCATCTTATGTCCTATTATTTTGGACATCTAATATGAAATATATTAGCCTCATTGACTTTAACAATCTAGTGTATATAATGTATATAATGTGGGCACGCTGCTTGATTTTGCATTCTATGTCGAGCACTCCCAAGTAGATTTTGGTTATGATATAAAATGGCATAGAAAATCTTCAACAACTGAACTTTAAAACAATCCATAAACTTACTACATGAACCTCCAAAAAAAACTTGTGCAATGTGGTCAATGATCCAATTATGTACAAATCATGTTCTTTCCCTTTCATTTAGGTAGCACTAAGATGTTTTTGGGCCCACATAAGGCTTACAAGCCAGTGATAAATTAAAATTCATTCATAACGATGCCCATTCCAGAAATATTTCAAGATAAAATAATAACAAATACACATACAGATGAGACACCAGCAAGTACAAAACAGAGAAGCATGAGAACAAAACCTGGTTTGCGTAGCTGATACCCATGTTTGCCCAGGCACGAACATAATTTGGCTTCAAATCTAGTGCCTGAAGATAAGAGGAAAGAGTTGAAATTGGACCAAATAAAGATTAAAAGAGAGATGGAAAGTTGGCCAATGAAGAAACTTATGCACGATGAAACTTATGAACGCAAACGGTTCTGCAATTATAAAACACCCCAAAAGCATAACGAAATAACTCCAGATATGACAAACCTTTGAGTTCAGATTCATTTAATCCAGCATATAACACAGTAGCATAAACTAATCCACATGATTTCTAGTTTTACCAATCATGTATAAGGGAATTATGTAGGAACTACCTGCTGATAAGCTAATATTGCATCCGCACTCTGCACACTGTTCGCTTGAGTTGCACCAAGCTTGTTCCATAGGGAGTAGTCATTAGGTTTGAGTTTCAAAGCTGTCTCAAAAGATGCAATAGCCTTGTCATACTCCCTTGACAAATTATACAGGACACCAAGCACTATGTGGACATCAGCATCCTCAGGTGACATTTGAGCAGCTTCATTGAATAATCTAGCAACCTGCACACCAATTCCCAAAAACAGATTTTGTAGGGAATCTTTGCAGAATGAAACAGAATCTTACAATATCTTGCAAGAAACTATGGATTTAATAGTAAAGCAGAATTAAACGTGTACCACAAGGAAAAAGTCCATGATTCTTGCAACAGTAAGCATTCATTTCCTTCCCTTGAATTTGTAAGGAAAAAGGTACTTGGGCCTACTTGGAAATTACATACTAAATCAGTATTTTCTATTGTAACCTACATTTTTGAATTCTCACTTGCCACTGCCAGGCTACTTGGAAGATCTTTAAGTAGATGGATTTGAAGAGAACTATAGGGGGCTGCATTAAGCCTACCAGGATGACAGGACAAATGATTATGTTAAGCTAAATCAGGCTAATAGGATGACAGAATAGAATTTATGGAGAGCAGAAACCTGTACAAATCTATCAGTTAAATTTATATTTCTCCACAAAATGCTTTTCTAAAAAATCTGAAGAACATCATAATTTTGGGGCCAAATGTTCCCTTTTTCTCTATTATCACCAAAAGTTCACCAAAAAGGTTCCAAGTTTACAACAACTTTCAGCAAAGAACCTTTTAGGAACAGTTAGATTCTATGACATATCCCGCAAAAATTATCACATAACAAACTTGAGTCCTAATAGCATTATTGTTAAGGAAAAAAGAAAAAGAGGAGTGAATGGTTCTGCCAAAAGTGCACTTACATCAGCATAATACAATGATTCAGAGAGCTCTTGTGATGCAAGAGTCCCATACGTTGGGTGATGTCGTAACCATCCATGTAAATACTTCAAAGCAGCTGCCTGCTCCAACTCTGATTTTTCAAAAAAATGAACAAAATAAATACTTGACCTCTTAATAACCTTCATACATAACAAATGAAGAAATTGAACACACAGTCACAATGTAGTGAAGGATCTCATCAGGGAGTAAACATGCTAACCATTGTCTTCAAAGCATTATGAATAAGACTAGTATAAAAAAGTTTCATTATTCTATTCAAGTGCAAATGGATGGATAAGCAACCTCATCAACAAGTTAATGTGATAACCACTGTCCTCAAAGCATTATGAATAAGACTAGTACAAAAGAGTTTCTGCTGACTAAAAATAAAAACTGAAAGTATAAAAGAGTTTCATCTATTCTATTCAAGGGTAAATAAATGGAAAGATGAGCAATCTCATCACTGACCATTTGTATGGCTCACACCAAGGGCAAGAAGCACCTCCAGATTTGTAGGATCAGCTTCCTGTGCTCGCATCATGGCTGCAATGGCCTGCAAAAATGTCAATTAAATGTAATTGTATGTGATTCTATTAAGTCAGTTTAGGGTTTAGGGTCTCCTAGATAAAACAAAAATGATCGATAAATTGAGTACATCCAGCCAGAAGCAAGCATTGCAGAAAATAATTGGATATCTTGATTAAGCCAATGATAGTGATATTTGAACTAGATTTTAAAACTCATCACTTGACTTACATTTTAGCTTTCTATTTAGGATATTGACAGTTTTATTTGGGGTAAAAATATGAAAATCCAAAATACCATCTAAATAGGCATTATTCATCATCCCTGGAGAAGCTTCAGACTTTAGAGAGAGTGGATCATAAGGAATGGTATATCACATCTCAAAGCCATCTAGTGCCAGTATTCAGTGAAATCAAAGAAAGGTTTGCCAACAACCTTACTTGGCCAAAAGAATCAAAGGAAAAATGTTCTCAACAGCCAAGAGATAAATTTGATCCTTGAAGTGAATCAAGTAGTGGCATTTCCTCAGAAGTTATTGCAGCACTAAAGTAATAGAAACCAACTATATTCTATAGCAGCAGAAAAAAATATGACAACCACCATAATCAATTTAATGTGAAAAACTAAGAAAACCTGTTGATCATCATCATTCTCTGCATGGGCTATTCCAAGCAACCTCCATCCTTCAGCATTGTCAGGGTTTTTCATAACTTCAGCCTCTAAAGCAAGTACAGCTTCACTCAGAAGCCCTTTCCGAAACAGCTCTTGACCTTCTTTCATGGGATTTTCATGACCAACATAGGGGTTCATATCAGAAAATACATAAACACCCCTTGAAGCATCTGATTGCTGCTTGGCAGCAACTTGCTCATTTAGAAACCTATAAGTTATCAACAGATCTATTTGTGTTAGTTCACTTTTATGTATATGCTTTTTCAGTGAAATTCATAATAACTAGCAAAAAAAGCAGGGCTAGAAAAAATAAGTGAGCATTATTATAAATTTATTAACTTATTAGTACTAGTCAACAGATTGAGTCAAGGTAAATTTCGTTATTCATCCTTATGAAAACCAATTTTCTCAGAAGCTGTAGAACACTTACTCATCATATGCATTAGCCCAATTATCAGCTGAACCATCCCCTAGAGCCCCTTCGCCCACCTGACGTCCAAAGTCTTCCACCCAATCTTGTACATCCAACTTTGAGAATTCATTGACCCATTGATCATCAATTGATCCTTGTGGCTCTTGTTCAGTAGCGAACTCATTGGCCCATCTATTAGGTCCAGTAACCTAAGAAAACCCAAATTAGCCTTGCAAAATTTGTAAATGGGACAGCTGACATTCATTAAACTCCCTTACAACATAAACAAGGGTCAAAAGCGTCGAGCTTATTTACCTCATGAAACAAAACAATGGTATTATATCATACCTATCAAACTGTATATTTCTTTTGCACTAGTGTGCATTCTCTTCCTCAACAAGTAACAACAAATTGCCTATGAATGATTCCATGCAAATTCACATGGATGCAGCATAGGTTGTCACAGTTAAAGGACAACCAAAGATCAAAATAGGAACTAAAACTTGACTTTTCTAGCGTTCATGATAAATAGATAGATGTACTTGCCTCTTCGTGTACAAACTCATTAGCCCAACTAGCCCCATTATGATGTTGTTGATATTCTGTTGCCCAGTCACTAGATGCTGGCTGAATCCCATTATCATCAATAATAAGTTCACCTCGACTCATCTTCGATACAAATTGAAGAAATTTTGAGTTCTGCATGCTCAAAAGATAACAATTAAACAAAAGCTACAATAGCATGTAAATGCATACATGTGACTGACATTGCCAAGAAGTGCATGATGAATAACAATGATAACATATTAAGAACTTCCCCAGACATGTATTCCGTTTTTGTGCCTATCGTAAATGTATAACCCAAAAACTATGTCAGAAGGAGAACTAACTGATGAAGAAAGAGATTCTTATTAACCACTTTCCTAAGCTCTGGTAGGAATTTTTCTGACACGTCTAATATGTCTTCTTCTTTGCCTAGCAAATGATAAATAAAAATGTAATTACAAGCTTGAACTACCAGCCTACATGCAAGTTAATAATTGCAGCTTTGGCATTGGTTAAGGTTACAAGGAGTTGCATGCTGATTGAACCAGTAGTGATATTGATAAATTTATGTATTCATAATGAGAAACTCTTGAATGCTTCGAAAAATAATGGTGTATTCAGCAGCAGAACTAAAACAATTTATGCTTCCAAAAGATGGAGGCAACACAAAAACTGTGTAGCAGAGCACTTCAGATGGCAACAATCCTCAATCAATGCATTTACTGCTCTAATTTCCCCCAACGAGACATCATAAGGTTTTAAGGTCCAGCCTCCTGAGGTCGACCATTTAGAGATGTCTACAATATCCATTACAAGATGTGCATCTCTCTGACCACTCACAAGACCGTTACCAGACCATTAAAGCACGTGAATACCACATGGGAAAAAAAAAAGTCATGGTAGAGACACTAGAGTATGCAACCTGAAATTTTGGATCATTATTTTGAGCCAGTGTATGTGCAAGCATTCGAGTCTGCTCTCTTGCAGCCAAGTTTGAGATTCCTGCCCCTCTCAGTTGGTCCAATGATGTCAACTGGGTCTGTTCTTGCACCCAATAAATGAATAAATAAATAAATAAATAAAAGAAATATGATAAAAAAGATATCTAACATATCTTCAGAAAAAGAAGTTACAAGTATAAGCAGTAACAGTAATGGCCAGCAATTAATAAAAAGGAGTCAAGATCCACTTAGACGTGCATAAGTATTATATAAGTTATCAGCCGTAATCCAACAGATGAAAATGATGTTGCTATATTTAGTAATATATCTTAAACTGCTGGATTTGGAAATCAACAGCTGATAATTCAGTAACACTTACACATGTAATAGGTTATTGATTCTGTACAACAATAAAGAAAAAAAATAAGACTGGAAAAAAGGCAAGACAAAAGAAAGACAAAAGCTAGCTGATGGAGCAAAATATTGAGTGTTTTGCTACTAAATGGTAAATGTTGCTAAGCGAGGTTCTGTCAGCTGATTCTCAAAAAGAATAATATAGGTTCCATTTGCCTTCTCTAGGAACCTAGTAGCATCAACTCCATTAAGCAACAGATTAAAGAGTCCCTTCCTTTTTGCCTCTCCTAAATGCTTCTAGATAGAAATAATTTATGCAGCAGGATCAGCGAGCTCATCCTCCATTCTCTTCTCAAATTAGAATCAACGATTCAATACGACACAACTCCAAGCACCATCTTACCTGCTCAAATTCAGAAGCCCATCCATTAGCACCATGCTGCTGTTCAAATGAGTGAGCCCAAGCTTCAGGATCACCAAGTTCTGCTCTATGTTGACCGAATTCAGAAACCCATCCTTCTGCTGCATGTGGACCAGGTTTCAGGACACCTTGCGATTCATTCCAGTAATCCTCCAGCTCCCTAAATCTCCCAGGCAGAGGTCCCTTGGCTCGAACATCATTTTCTATTTCTAAAGAGCTCAATAGTGCATTTACCTGGATAATAGCCATCCATCCACAAATATGAGTATCATGCAGTTTTAAAGCAAGTTAAAATAAAAGAGAGAAAAAAATATGTTTATGTTCATAACCAAAGCACAATATTCTCATGCAATCAAAGCTGAGCCCCTTTATTTTTATTGTGGGAGAAGAATGTGATTCCACTTTGAAGGCTGTTTGTCAATTAGGTGCCTCAAACACAAAGTGAGGCCAGGTACTTTTACTTAAAAATGTCCAGAAGTTCCCAAAATTTATACACTAAATCAAATAAGATAAAACAAGTGAAATTCTACTATTTAAGTTATAAAAATAAATTGATCAAAGCATGCAGTTCTTGTAAAATGGAGAATGAACTGTAAACCTGAGCATTGATAAAATCTTCACTTCCATCTGGGAAAAAGTGCCTTGCCATAATGCTGCTACGATCACGTATGCAATGTTTGTCACTGTCTGACAGTCCTAATAGTGGAAGAGGAGTAGGATGAAACGGAATGCCACTACGGCTGCTGTCCACAAATGAGTGAAGAAATCTTGATAGCACACGCTGAGGTGGGCCTATGCAAGAAAGATGAAACCAGTAATAAACAATTTCATAGAGAGATTGAAATTAATTTGAGACTAAACCGTTCGTTACAAACAATTATAAAAAGATTAAACACATCCAAATTTCTAGAAAGTAGGCCAAAAGAGGAAACACAACTTCTTGTTTCCACCTTAAAAAAATCTTTTGTATTATGTTTTCAATCAAACCAGATATGCTTCTAACTTATTAGATGGCCATTTTTCTTAAAGAGGCGATTACAGGAATTGAGTAATATAAATGATATCAAAGAACAATTTCGCTGCTAATCAAGACTAAATCCATAACAGAGTTAAAAGAGGCCTCAATTTGTACCATCAAAAGCAGGTTGAAGTGGAGCTCCAAACTGACTGTTAGGTTGACGCTGTATCTCCTCCCACGCGTTTGAGAGTCCATTATCATTCACAGAACGAAAGTCACGTATAAAGTCGGAGCCCTGGCAATAAGAAAATCGAGAGTTAATCAGAAGATGAAGAAAATCAAGCTCTATGGTTGCAGAAAAACGATACGCAAATATAAAAACCTGGGCGTTTGGTTGCAAAAACGGCTGCTCGAACTCGGAACCTGGAAGTGCTACGCCAGTCTCAGTGTAGAATTTAGCCGGAGAAGACGCGGTAGTTGTAGATGTAGGAATCTCCTTCAGCCTCTCCTGATAGCAGAAAAGCAACACAAGTAATAAGATCGTTGGTAATCGATCAAAGAAATGAGAATTGGACGAAAATTGAAACCTGATTCTTTGAAGAAGAGCCGACGAGAGCGTTCGCAAGGGCGCCAAGGGGGTTGGATGAAGAGGAAGAACCAGGAACAGCACACGCTGCTCCGCCGGTGACTAACTCCCGCATCGCCATCGCCGCCCACCTCCGCCTTCTACGTGGTTTTTTTTTTTTTTTTTTAAACGAAAATACAGAAAATGATGTTTTTTTTTGGTTATAAATCCAGATGGTGGTGATGATGCTGCTTCACACGCTTCTAGACATCCTTTTAGATAGAATTATCAATTGGGGAAAAGGCCCATTTCAAGCGTTGCTTATAAATTGGGCTGAAAGTCTTTAAAAGTGAAACCGCTCCAATTCGATTTGCTTAAATTTTAATCTGGTAAATTATTCGTGGGTCGGGTTGTTTGATATCCTCTGATTAATGCCTCAAATAACCTTTCAAACCCAAAGTGTAATAAAAGCAAGCACTTAGAACCGCCTTTGAGTTTTAATAATTCATCTTAAACCTTTTAAGTGTTTGAGTTTGTTGATTAAGTTTTCGAGCTTTACTAATGTCTTAAAAATCTCATTCTCCTTTCTAATAAAAGCAAGCACTTAGAATCAGCCTTCAAATTTTAATAATTCGTCCTAAACCTCTAAGTGTTTAAGTTTATTGATCAAGTTTTCAAACTCTATTGACGTCTTGAAATTCCCATTCTCTTTTCTTCAAAATTATATACTGTTTAAAAATAAATAAATAAATAAAAGCAAATCTTTGGCCATTCTTATACAAAACAATAGCTGCCGAACATCAACTATCCCATCTTGGATGGAGAAACAAAACGGAGGGGTACTTGAATTTTACAATTGTCACTAACCTAAAAATTTTGAGTTGGATTTAAAATTAGAAATTTAAATCTTAATGATAATAGACAGTTAATCTTCTGATGTGTGTATATATATTTATATATATTTGTCACTAGAATCTAATAAATATAGCTAATAGGTTTTCTTTTTTTCTTAAAGAACTAGTTAAGTGTTTAGAAAGATATTTTTGTAGGCTAAATTTAATGGTTAAGGCTATTTCATCTTGATTTTAATAGTATATGAATGGGTTAATTAATTGTGATTTTTTATTTGATTTTCCATAAAAGAAGACTCAATTATACAAAATTAGAAATGTTGGGATTGAATTGCTAATTTTTTTCAAAGTTTAGGGCCCAAATTGTGAGAGGAGAAATTGAATTTAGGGACCAAATTAAAAAAAAAGATTAATAAAGACTAAAGTGTCAATTTAATTCAAATAAGGGACCAAAATTGCAAGCAAGATAAATTAATTGAAGCAAAATCTCTGTAGATCGACCAAAAAGAGGTCCAAAATTAATTCAGGGAGCAAAATGGGATTTAGTGAATGATCTTATGATATAGCAGATAGCCATCATTACTTTCTCTTGATGGGTCTTTCTGACTTGATATGTTTTAATAATGCTTAAAAGATTATCCTTGATTCATATTTTTACTTAATTAAGAGATTAATTAGGAATGTACTTTTTTATTTTGTTAAAAAAATACGTATTTTGAATTTTTTTAAGGTTTTTTTTTATTTGAAAATAATGATGAATTCTAACCATTCAATGAAAATGAATGGATAGGATTTGGTTTAGGAAATTGATTAATATATTTTTTTAATGCATTATATAATATATTTATTTTAAATTATTATTTTTAATATAAAATTAAAAATAAATAAATTTTAAAATATAATTATACATACATAATAAAAAAATTAATTAAATTGATTATAATTATATTATATTTTAATAATTAAATTAAATTAATATTAAAATATATATTAAAATAGAGACTATATCAATTTTTTTAATAAAATTTATATATATAATCTGTACAGTACCCTATCCCTATTTACATAGACACTTATCTACCTAACCTATTTTGTAATACTACAATTATAGAAATCATTAAAAATCTCCAATAAGTCTAAAGTAAAATACACAATAAATATTTTAAAATCTCCGATAAATTCTCTAAATTGTTCCTAAAATCCCAAATAAATAATAATGGGCATCTTAAGGCAACCCCTTTAGACTGCATAAATCCCCATCAAATATTAAAGATAACAGAAAGTAAAAGCCCAAAGTATCACACCGTTCCCAGGCGAAGTCCAAGGCATCAAGCATTACCGTAAGACTCATGTCACACACTTATATCCATTGTGAATGATATTTATGCAAACCCTAGCAAAAGGAATGTCTATTTCCTAGTGTGTTACTGATTTTTTTTTTATCAATGTACATTTAGATAAAAAAATAACCACATCAAATCATAAAATATTAATAATTATATAATAAGTAGTCTTAATAATTAATATTAAGAGAGCATCGCAATCCTATCAAAAAACTTAATTATAATTTGAGCAGCCTTATTTTGTATTGAACGATCCGGAAACTGAAAGCAATTGATCAATTGCAATGGTTTTTCTTTTTTTTTTTATAAACAAGAGAGAATTTTGAGAAAGAAGGAAATATTAAAAAATTTCAATGGTTATGTAGCCAGGAGAGTATCCATCATTGTAATTATTACATTGGAATGGAAATAGCCCAGCCAAGGGAGAACAGGCATTGGAGGTAACGTCTGAACTAGATGGGAAGATGATATATGTAGTCGATTCTGTTTTGTCAGTGTGCAGCTAGCCTAACCATGCGTACGTGCACCAAACGTACTCTCAGCCATGTATATTTGACTCTCAACACGCAAGCTCCCCCTTTCCCCTTTCCCCCTTTTCTCTAATATATGAATATGTGTACCCCATCACTAAGCAGCTTTTTATGGAGCAAGGTCATCAACTCCTTGTGACCATCTTATCACTGTCAGCTACCGAAAGCTTAATTATGATACTAGAATTATATTCTGATAAAAAAATAAAATCACATAAGCAAAAATATTTAAAGCTTTTTTTACCAAAAAAGAAATTAAAGCTAATTACTATATATATATATATATTAGTTTGTCAGTAAATATTTGTTGTGTGAAAATGCATTAAATAACTAATAAATTAAGATGCCTTGGACCAATTAGCTAGCTATATAGGTAGGTACCTATATATATATATCCATATCAATTGCATTAAAAAAAAAAAAAAAAGCCAACTAGGAAGAGAGTGGTCCTTGAAAATCCACAGGACACGAGAGATCCTAGCAGGGAAGGTTTTGAAATGGCAGGAGGCAGGGTGAGCATATTTTGAGAACTTTGATGGTTTTGCTGAGGGGACAAAAGGCAGAAATTAGGGCACTAAATGGTGCAATATCAAATATCAGACACAGCAACAGGTATATACGGATACTTAGTGCAGAAATCAAGAACCCTCATGCATCCCCTCCCCTCCCATCCAAGGGAGACAAAGGAATTTTGGGGAACTACTAACAAGAGTGGTATACTTTAATAAGTCATGAGAGATGAGATGAAATGAGAGAGAAGGCATTTTCATCATAAACTAAAACCAAATGGAGGGGGCATCATTGGCATTACCCTTTAATTAAGGATAATAGAATAATATATCCATATACATAGACTACAGGAATGCAAATCAACGTATAATTTTTTTTTTATAAATTTAAAACAATTAATTAATCCTCTAAAACGACGACGACAAGAAGACGAAGAAGAAGGTGCTTTAATTAAGCTTTTAAAAAAAAATTTGATGGTAACTTTTAAATTATTTATTAATAGAATAGAATAGATTAAGGTGATCAAGAAAATTATTAATTCCACACACATCCATATCGCAAATGCTGCGCACCGGAATTGGTTACCCGCAATTAAATTAAATTATGATTAAGCAACAAGCATCGTTACGCTATATATATATATATAAGATTGAAATCTTAGGAAACAAAAATATATATATGCAAGGCATGTATGTCAACGAAGCGTACCGATCGAAATTCGAAAGGCCACAACACTCACTAGTTTCAGCTCCCCGATCGAGAAAGAACCGACTGAAGATGCACGGTGATGAAGAATCAAGATTAGCTGATGGGTATATGGCTAGCTAGCTAGCTAGCTGCAAGGTCCCAGGAACTGCTCTCCCTCTTTTAAATTTCTCCCCAGAACTTTCATGCAACGTAAGCCTATACCATGCAGAGATCCATCTGATCAGTTAAGATTTAATATGTATGGCACAGTGGGGGGGTCAAAGGCAAGCTTGATGAAAGGTCGATCGATCAATCGGAACCCTGTGACTATGAGAAAGAAGACAGTCATAACATTTCTACATTTAAATATCCTTCATTCTTCTGTCAAACAAGGGCGCGCTCATCTCGGGACTAATTAATTAGAGACAATAATATATAATTAGCAAAATTATGAATGGATAACTAAGTAATTAATTAATTATCATGTCATGAGGTAGCTGCTGCTAGCGCCAGGAAGATACAGAGAAAAGGGCACGATTCTGCCAACCAAGGAAGAAAGAATTGTTGACAATCTGAAGCTGGTAACCCTCAGACGGATAGTGGAGCCGGAGGAGAAGCTTGGCCTGCGAAAGGGCGAAGGGGCTCAAGGGAACATTACAAAATCCTGAGCTCCTTAACATCACTTCCCACGTCTCCAGCCGCTGGTGCCTCTCTCTTCTGTTCTCGCCTTCTGCACCCACAATGTCCATGATTTCTTTTCCGAACCATATCTGCTCCACAGCCAGCCTTTCCCGACTGTTAGGTGGTATCGTTGCCTCCAGGGAATCGAAGATGGCCGTGTAATGGTCCAAGGCCTCTACAAACCTTTGTGAGAACAAGGGATGGTTGTGGTTTGCTTCCCTTTCTGCTACGGTCACCACAACCGGATTCAAGGTCTTGATTTTGTGAAGAAAGAGGTGGAGATCGCGGGAATCGTCCTTGAGAACCCTGTGTAGATACATGATGCAGTTAACAGCAAGGGCCTCGTCCGGATGTAGAGCAACGTTGGAAGCAGCTGCAGGGTCATGGTTATTGGGAAGGAGAAGAGGATGGAAATGAAATCTAAGGCTAAGGGACTGCGCAAATTTAGAAAGGCGGTCGCCCGTCCTGTGGAGAAGGTTGAGGTCGTGGCCTGTTCCAGTGATTCGGAGCATGGGAGGATTGGAACGCTCGGCTAACGACTGCATCAGCGGAGGCCATTGCACACCGTGCATGATGTCAAAGTCCAGGATGTGTATGGCCTGTTGCCCTACTTGAATAGCTTCCAAAATGGCCTGATTGGCTGTGAGGTGACTGAATCTGATGAAGGGAGTTATTTGGTTTAGGGACAGATAGCATGACTGAATCTGATCATCAGTATTGATTGTTGTAGTAGTAATAGGAGAGATGAGAGCATTGGGACCAACAGTAACTTGCGGCCTGAAGGGATCGTTGTTGATATTCATCATCGAAAGCAGCTGATGGTGACTTCCAAGGTTGCTGCAGAGGCGACTGATACGTACAGAGAGGGCTTTCGTAAATTGGTGGACTAATCTCTCGGTGGAGTCTCCATAAGGAGAAGCGTTTGAGCACAAGGAGAGGAGGCGGTGAGCAGAGGAAAAGTCAGATTGAGAGACAAGCTCGGCGCATCTGATGAGTAATTGGCGCATGTGTATTGCCTGCGACTGTGGCCGGTGGTCTTGCAGATCTGGGGCTTCTTCTGCATCTTGGGAACTCGATGAATTATTCAGGGAGCCAAGCATCTCTGTGAGATAAATGGGCAGTAAGGTTTAATTTTGTCAAGGTGAAAACAATATAATGGTGATGATGAGTGAGAGAGGGCTGCATTCCTTTGCCTTGACGAAATATAATGAATAAGCCTGATGCAGCATCATCTGCTACAACAGGGAAGAAGGGATACCTGGCATTTGTTAGTAACAGTAGCAGTCTTTGTTCTCCCTTCTCTCCACAACCACAAAACAACAAAAGATTTTTTTCTCTTCTTTTCTTTTTTTCCTTTTTCGACTACTTTATGCAGTAATATATAGTAGTAAGTAGAATGTACCAAAAATATATATATAGTATGAAGTAGTAAACAAGTCAGTCAACCCCTTCCAATACTCACCTCGGTTAACCTCAGTGGAAGCTATTCATTGTGCGAGGAACTAACTGCAAGAAGTTAATCTAATTATGGGCTGGACAAGGTCTCATTTTTTAAACCCCGCATATCTCACCTTGTTCTACTTAATTAATAAATGTTTGAACCAAATATAAAACCTTTTAATTACTTACTTATAGCCGCTATATACGTTTTCAAGCTCCAACTGTTATGGTGATATCCTATATAAGGGTTGGAACATATACAGATGATGATGGAGCTAATTAAACCATAGCTTATGTACGTAAATTCGTCATGAATATATATATTATATGTTTTTTAACAGTACCAAAAGTGAATATATATATAGAGAGAGAGAGAGGGATATACCATGACTAGCTCTCAAAAGCAAAGAAAACTAAAAGAGCATATTTAGAGTATATCATATTTACAAAAGGTGTGGGAACAAGCAAAGTGACAAGTCATCTGAGTGTTGTCTGGAGATGTGGAATCCGAGTGAGTTGAGGTAGAATAGAAACCTTTTTCCTTGTTTGCATTTAGGAATTGGAGCTGAGCAAAACCATTACACATATTGGATTTGCCAAAATGGAAAAACCTCTTTTCACACCTAGCTGGGAATCTTTCTAATTCCTGGCACCCTCTACTCCATTGCTTAGGTTTCTCACTTGGAATCCCAAGAGCATGTTAAAGTTTATAGAGTATTCAAATAATAACAGGGTTTCTCTAATTGCAC